AATTCCACGAGCAGCAAAACGTGATCGGAGAAACGGGGAGGTGAAAGTGAAGTTATGTATCTTTTCCGGCGATTTTTGGAATTGGAGAAGAATTTAATCGGTGTGAATCAATTTACAGTAAAAAATGAGAAGAAATCTGAGTTTGTTGATGAGAAGAAGAAAAATGGAAATGGAACAGATGATAAGCTGCGTGCAAAATGGAAAACGCGAAATAGAAAACGTGTATTGTTGATGGAAAAAAATACATATGCGAAAATGTCTGAGCCCGGGTTCGAACCGGGGACCTCTAGTGTGTGAGACTAGCGTGATAACCGACTACACCACCCAGACAAGTTGAAACTGATTTCATTGATAATTCTATACTATTAAATCACCCAGATGAGATCAATTTCATTGTTTCCGTGCATTATGCAAAGAACAAATGAGAGGAGAAATAATAGCTACATCAACAGAATAACAAAGTATTTATCAGTTAAAAAAAAAATATATGATGGATGTGACAAAATACTTTCCTTTGTTTACTATGAAATTTTGTTTCAAACAATAAAGAAAGAAAATTAATAATTTAAGTCTTACTGATGTCAAGTATTTTAAATCAAATATTTAGATGTTAGTTTCACAATGAACCTTTTTCTTCTCATACTTTAATTATTTTTTTCAATAATTAGTTTACTCTCTTTCCATAATATAATTGAAATATATAATCAAAACAACAAATAATTAGCAACAAAACATTAAAGTAAACAGAAGTCAGTAACAATTTAGTTCCAATATCTGGATAACAAAGTAATAGTGTGGTCCTAGTTATGAATNAAAGCAATGAGTTACATTAAAAAAAAAAAAGTTTAGGAAGGAACAAAACTTCATGATGTTAGATCTATCAATAAGGACATCCCTAAATCCTGAAAATACAATGAAAATTTGTTCCTAATTCTTTTTTCCACCCCAGAAAACCTATTTCTGGCCACCATATACATAAAACCTCTAACAATTGGCATTTTTCTTACTCACAATCCATAAATACTTGCTCGAGGATAATACGAGCAAAGCTAACTCAAAGCCCCGTTCGAGAGTAGCTTCTTTAGTGTTTCGTAGGTCACGAAAACAATCCCGACAGTTGGAACAACCTTACAATATTCCGGCATAATCCCTCTATACAGTCCACGAAAGCCTTCTGCTCGAATAATCTGCCCAAAAGTCCCGAGCAAGCCCACATTGTACACTCGGGCTTGGCCAGCCACACCCTCTAATTGCATTCTTCGCCTCACGAGGTCCAATGGGAAAGTTACTAAAATATGAAAAACCGAAAGATTATATTCTCAATCGATAAAAGTCATATCTTTGTAGTACAGATATAATTTTTGTACAGATAATGAGTTAAAAATCACACCTGTTGATGATGCAATGCCCGAAAGACTGCCACATCCGAGGCTGACCAAGACAGTAGAGTCGTGGGGCCTAATATATATTCAAAATAAATAAGGAAAAATGGAAAATAAAGAAATCGGTAACTCTAATTGAATAATTAAACTTACTGACCATCACAACTAAGACTTTTTTCCCCTCACCTTCGAGAATGCCAATTGTATCTCAAACTCTCGTATACTGAAAAGCTTATAGCAATGCTGGGACCAACACCCTGCAAAGTGCAAAGGAAAATGAAATAATGTTTTCCTAGTCTGGTTTTGGATAAAGGAAATTACGAAAAAGTACCAGTAATGTAGCCCCCATTCCTTTATATAAGCCAAGAAAACCTTCATCTCTGCATATGGTACGAAGAGCATGACTTATGCCCTTATAGTATATCGCATTTCTCTACGAAAATGTAAGAAAACGAGTCAATAACCTACTAAATCCTCAGAAGATTTCGACACATAACAATTTCAAAGTTCTCCCTCACAAAACTAATCGGACTTCGAATCTTGACAGTCAAATTCCTCTTTGCCCTTCTCCACCAACACTAAGATAGAAATATTCGAAGAAGTTCGTGTTTATTACACAATACCTGTGCTGCAAGACGTGTCCTGATAAGGTCCAACGGGTAAGTAGCAGAGGCAGCAGTTATTCCGGCCAATCCACCGCCCACAAAGTGCACAAAAACATCCGAACCTGCATTTTTTTCTTGCCCATCAAGGCCGGGGATCGATTTTAGAATCTGCATAAAAACACGAAAAGCTCCTTCTTCAAGTGATCACTCATTACAAAGAAAAAAATGCTGACACATAATTTATGAACACTCACCCTCTTATACTGTTCATAGGCATAAAAATTGACTGAGGAATATGGAAGCCGGTGAGTCACTGTGACCAAATTTCCTTTCCAAAAGGCTCGAAAACCTTCTTCGTTGACCACACGCAATGCCTCGCGCCAGATACAGGGCTTGCTCATGACTGCAACATCTGAGTGCATGCCCTGAACCTAAAAATGACCATTAAACAAAAAAAAGAAAAAAAAAAGAAATATGTGAACTTGATAAGAAAAATAAACAATAAATTATTAACTGCAAATTTCTATTACAGAAAATTTCAATTTGGGAAAGGAGAAAAAAACCTGAAACAGAATGGTGAGCCGAGCTAGTGGGGCCGTGCAGGTCTTGCTGAAAGCTCCGGCAACCCCGCCGGCGAAGAGTTGCGGCACGGTGCCAATCTGGGGCGATAGAGGCTGCTGAGGGGACGCCCCCGCAGCCCGCGACTGGTGCTGGACTATGTTCCTTGTGGCGGCGGCGCCGTCCCCCCCAACTCGAGCTTCCATTGATTAAGCAGAAAAAACTTTCAACCAATCGAAATTTGTTCAAATTTTCAGCAGGATCATTGGATTCTTGATGGTTTAGAACGGAGATTAACGGATGATGAATTTGTGTAGTTTCTTTAGATTTTTCAGAATTTTTGCTTTAGGGGGCGACGGCTTAAACCCTACCTAAACCCTGCTAATGGGTCAAAGTCGTTATGTTCCTTGCTTCAGGTGGAAGTTTGACGAAGTGAGTCACGCTTTTGTACGACCAATGGGATAAACGCTTTAAATTCCAAAAAACGTGTCCCCTATGCATTGGGCCGGTGACCCATCATTTATGGTTCTTGCCCAATTTCCAAAATTAAAGGCCCATTTATCTCAATTTATGGCCATCTTGTTGTGTGCCCTCCTTTTTTTGTTGTTACAGCTACTTTACTACGGGCGAGTGTAGTCTTCCCAGGGCACGTTCCTAGTGTAACTTGTGGAGTATTATTAGTTTTGCTATCTATTAGCTATATTTTGTGTGTTTGTCTGTAATTTGTGGAGTATTATTAGTTTTATTGATTATTAACTGTATTTTGGTGTTTCTCTACTTAGTTGTATTAGTTTTGTTGCTTATTAACTGTATTCTGTGTTTTTGTTTCTTAGTTGTCTATGTAATTACTAATTATTGTTTCGAAAAAAAAAAAGAGATTGCTCATTTGTTTATGTCATGACTTGCATAGCTATAGTTAATTTGGGGGATCGAAGTATTACTAATTTGTTATTAAATATAGGGATAATAACAATTTCCCTAATTAGTACTCCTCCTATTTTTATTATTTGTCATTCTGGCTTAATTGATTATTTGTTAAATAAATGTCGTTTTGGCTATTTTGTACATATTTTTTCATTATTACTCTCATCTAACTAATAAATACACTATCGTCTTTTCATATTTACTCATCATTTTTTTTCAAAACATCTATCTTTATCCTCATTAATGAGGGTTATTATTGGCAAAAAAATATATTCTTAATTACTGTACAACGACATTTATTAAAAATAGGAGAGAGTATTTTTAATCTCTTGCACGACTCTTTCCTAGTGAAAATGCAAATAATAAGGAAAAATATCATCGATGACCACAATCATGAATATCATTGATGACCGCAATCATACGTAAAATTCATTTATGTCGTAGCTTAGACGAAATTAATTATTAGTCATTACAATTACATTCATAAAACCCCTTGCATTGTAGCTAGCTACATTTTAAACTATCACCATCCCCACCCCGTCACAATCGGCCACGGCCACCGTCGCCCGCCTCACGTTCTTGTACGGATACTTCCTCACGATATACGCGTAAACACACAAGTTCAAACTCGTGATCCCACACAAAAACCAGTAGAAATAGTCGAGCCGGCTATGATTCAGATCCTTACCAAACCAACTCGTGCCCCAACTTCCCGTCACATGGTCGACTATTGTTATCAATAGGCCGCTCGCAAAGCTCGAGGCTCCAAGCACGCTAAGATAGAAAGCGATCCCCAAGCTCCGCATCGAGTCAGGGACTTGATCGTAAAAATACTCCTGAAGTCCGATGAGTGTGAATGTGTCCCCAATTGCAATTATCACGTATTGCGGCGCCAGCCAGAAGGCACTCATCGACTGGGAACTCCCGTTTTTCTCAACAATGTCGAGCCGTTTTTTCTCGACGAGGGCCGCGACCATCATGGTGAGTACGGAGAATATCATACCAGTCCCGATCCGTGTGAGAAGGTTGATCCCTCGGTCATTCCCCGTGAGGCGTCGGAGGAAGGGGACGAGGGCCCGGTCGTATAACGCGATCGCGAAAACGAGGGTGATGGCCGACAGGGCTTGGATGGAAGCCGGCGGGATCTCGAACTTGGAGGTGATCCTACGGTCGAGGGTCACGCTCTGCTTGATGAAGAACGTCGAGGATTGTGCCACGCAGATGCCGAAGGGTAGTGTGGTTAGCCATATCGGGATCATGTTGACCAGGAGTTTGACCTCCTCGACTCGCGTCACGGTCGCCAGGTGCCACGGGTTTTGTTCGTCGGTCGGGGTTCGGGTGTCCTCTACAATCGCGGCCTTGTCGAGAAACCTAAAAAAAGTAAAGGCCTACTTAGTATTTCATATTTAAGAGTGAGCAAAATTGAAGTGAAACTAAAAAATCGAGCAGAACTGTGCAATTCAATGTGGTTCAGTTTGGTTCTTTTAATGTTAAAAGATTTCAATTCAATTTCGGTTCGGTTTTCCTACAATAGGTGCGGTGCGGTTATATTCTTCATAAGTTTGATATTCGATGTTGGTCAGACATGATTTTTGGTACCGACTGCGCCAAATTAAACAAAAAAATGCACAGATAAATCGAGACAGAACCGAAAACCGAGTCTATCTGTGCATTTTCCTGCGGTTATTAAAGTGTAAAAAAAATTGGTTTTATTTCTTTCCTAGTTGCAGTGCAGTTTAATTATTTTTTCCTTTGCTAAGTTCGATTTTTCGGTTTTCTAGGGTTCAATCATAGCTCACCCTACTTATAATTTTTTACCACTTGAAGTGTTAACAAAAGGAAAAACAACAACAATATCAATATCAGATGTATTCTTACTTGAGCCTCTCCGTGTGGACAAGAAACCTCATCCCATTGTCCTTGCCCGAGCGCGAGACCTCGTGAAGCTTACCGGGCTCTGACGGGTGCTCGAGATTCCTCTTCACGAAAGCCGCCACCAAAACCTGAAGCAGAGGAGTCAAGGGACTCCCGTTGGGCCTCCGAAACCGGTAATACGGCCTTCCGATCAAGAATATCACGACAGTGAATGCCATAACGGATGTCAAAATAACATCGGCCGTAGCCCACCCGATGTGGTCTTGAATGTAGACGATCACGGTCACCCCTAGCAAGAGCCCGCAACAAAGCCCAAAACACCACCAGTTGAAAAATGACATCTTCTTCTTCCGCTCCCCCGCGTGGTCGTCGTCAAACTGGTCGGCCCCGAAGCTCTCGAGCGAGGGCTTGTGCCCACCGGTCCCGATCGAGATCAAGTACATGGCTAAGAAAAAAATGATGACGTGGATTTTTCGGGGCTCCGGGCAGGGCCCGGGCCCACACGGTTCCAGGCTCGGGATCACTCGAGACATTGTTAACACTAGCAACCCCTGAAAGTTTTTCAGTAAAACTGTTGTTAGACAGACCTGACCAGACCACAGGCAACTATTTCAACAAAAGTACGTACTCTAATCGTTAGGTAGTCTGATATAAGAACTTGCCAAGCAGAATCTAACTAAAGTGAAGATTGTGTAAACTTACGAGGAGATAGATGATCGACGAGGCTAGGATAGTAGAAAATCGGCCAAAATAAGCGTCGGCTAGAAAGCCGCCAAGCAAGGGCATCAATGTGGTGACGCCAGACCAATAGTTGACGCTTTTGGCTGCTGTCTGAAGGTCTTGTTTGATCACTTTTGTTAGGTATATGATCAAATTTGATGATAGTCCAAAGTAGCTCAACCTCTCGCTGAATTCAGTTGCTGTTTGAGAAAAAATAAATTAAGGAAACTAAATAGCATATATTCAGTCATATCATTAGTCAACATTAATTCATATCTGTTTTTATTCTTTCATTTTTGGACGTATGCATGGTGAGTCACATGCATACATGGCATATTTGTTTTGTCTTGTTTTATCTTTTCTCTCAGCCCTTAGATTAAGATCGTATGGTATAGATTTATTAGAGCTTGTATATAAAAGACCTTTGCACAGCTTTCTAGGGTTTATGAAATACAGAGCATCATTTCTGTTCTTGGCTTTGTCTTCAAGTTTCTGTCGATTGGCTCGTAAATCAGATATTTTCACTTCAATGGCTACTGACATTTGCCATTAAAACTAAGTAAATATACAATGTAATGGAGACATGAATTTTATTTCACAAATACTCGTGTGAGGTATATTGTTATCAGTTAGACAGGTCTATCTTATTATGCAAATGCTCGAGACTTATTGTTAGATTTACTAATAGTTTGATAGATCTATCTTATTACACAATCTATATAGCCAATAGAAACGGTACCTTTGGAGAAAATTCATCTTCAACCCAGCCCTCCATCTTTACAGGAAACTCCAATTCTAAATTATTTAATTATTTAATTAATTTTCTTACTACATATTATAAAATTTTAATATTTGGTAAGTAGATAATATTGTAGTTGCACTACATTTTGCATTGGAGATAATTTTTTAATTTCATAGTTATAAACTTAATATTTTTCCTACATGGTTCACAATCTATTTAATTTATTGACATTTGTCAAAATTTATTCTACAACAATATTAGAGCACTGGAGATGCTCTTATATGTGAAATATTGTACTTTTATTTATATATTTATATATTTATATATATATTATATACATATATATTTTCTTCAAAAGAATGGTGTGAACTTGAATTATAATCATTTAAAAAAGTATATCATTTTTGGAAAAATTAGTTTTATGTAGGTTGATATTGATTTTGGATAACTGATGTAAGATGATGTCTTTGTAACGGACTGGTGATGAGTTCTAGGTGCAGGCTGAGCTGGACCAGCTTGAGACAAAAAGTAACAATAAGTCAACAAGAGTTGACTTTGTAGAATAGTGTTTGACATTTTTGCACTGACCAGTCAAAAAGTAAATAATAAGTCAAGTAGAGTTGACTTTTTGCGACAGTGTATTTGACATTTATGCAGTGATCTTATCCTAAAAACTGGCTTGTGAGACCTGATGCAAGAAATAATGCACCACCACTTGTAACTTTGAGATCTGAAATTAAGAACATGTTTTAGGATACTATTAGTGAATAAAAACTAATATTTTCTTCGTTTTTAAAATGAGAATCTACTTATTTTCACAAGATAAATTTTTGTGTAAGACAACTTAAAGTTAAACGAGTCAACATGTAATATTTTAATTTGTGATAAAAATGCATGATTATACCATATATAGAATATCATAGTATTGTTTATATTATTTAATTTTTAAAATATGCACATCTATTAAAGTATGAATGTTGTATTGTCCATAATTATGATATTAAATATATGTAAAGATAAAATGTGTAAAATGAAAATATAAAGCCTAATAATAAAAATCGAATAATGTCAAATTGCTTCGTGTATAAGTGTGTGGCAGGTCTTATTAATTGATTCTTATATGTCTTTTCTTCCTCGTACTTTTTAAGTTCGTACCAGTTATGGATTCCGAGAATGATGTTTATGGTGATTAATAAACTTTGGGATACAAAAATATATATATATATATATATATATATATATATTTAATGTAGATGGAATAAAATAAAAATAACAGAATATGTCAAGTCACCACTTGTTCCAAAGCTGATGCCTTTGAGCTGGTTTTACTCGGATCTTAATCAAGCACGTTTTGGATCGAGATATATAAGATATTATACTTGGTAAAAGTGAAAATGTTTAGTTTTAAATTATTTGAAATATATATAATGTTACATATTTGATATGCAACAATAATATTAAGAAAATGAAAATAAATGGACTCAATCTTTGTCGTGTCGGTTATATATATGTATATATATGCATATAATAAATGCATAGTTAGAATATCATAATCTATCACATGTCTTAATTGCAACTGCTAAACAAAATGAATCACTTGTGAATTAAGCTCAGTTTGGTTGGTTAAGACTGGTTAGACTTAAAAAATATATATTAGAATTTTAAACATTTTTCTATGCCTTTAGTACAATTCGATTCGTTAAACTTCGAGAATAGTTCAAGCTCTTGATATTCGAGATATTGACTCATTAAAACTCGAGTCCGACTCGTTAAGGTTCATTAACGAGTCGAGCTCGACTCTGCTATAATCATCTACAGACTACAACTCTATATATCAATGACCAGCACAGGAGAAAAAGAAAAAAAAAATATTCAATTAACTACGGACATTATTTAAAACCTTTTTAAATATTATCTATTTATTACCTATGATTTGATAACAATAAATAATGTAATCATAAGATTGATCTAATTACTTGAAGAAATCCTAGCTCATGAGGTTGAGTTTGGAAGTAATAAATGTGGAACAACTCACAAATACATGTAAATAATTGTCACTAATTATTGGCTAAANAAAAAGACTAAAAGATGCTGCAAAAGAAAACAACATTTATTTAAATAAGAAAATATCTACAATTTGTTCATATAAGAAAAAAAAATTGAAAATAATAATTACCTACGATAAAAAGGGAGGCCTTGAAAGCACCAGTTGAAGATCTGAGGGGAACTCTTCCTTTGTAATCAACTGAAGAATCATAAACCCATTTTTCTTCATCTCGTAATTCCAGCTTATTATTTTCTTGATCCATAATAGAGCTTTAATTAATATATAATCAGCTTTGTATTAAGCTAATTATAACACCACAGTTAACTAAAGTATTAATTAATCATAGTGAACCAAGAGAGAGATTTTTAATTAGTTGGTGTGGTTGTGTACTTGGCTTGGCCATACTTATATAGGACAAATGAATAGGTAAAAAGTCACGACTATGCATAAAGATCGTGTTTTGTTGGGCTTTTGCTAATTGCTAGTGCTTTATTGATCATAGGAATGATATAAAAAAGATAGTCTTTTATATTATCTTCATTTGGTGACTTTATTCACGTTTTGATTTCGAATTTTGACTTATTGTATTTATTAATTTTTATTTATATTGGATGATATGTAATTTCTCACTATTTTATAGTCGATAAATGATATTTTTATTTAAATAGTTAATGTGGAATATGTAGAAGATGAGTTTTACATTATTAAGAATTGTTCGAATGGTATTATTTTAGAGTCGATAAATGATAATTTTATTTAAACAGTTGATGTGGAACATCATTGTTCGAATGGATGATATTTTTATTTTTAATAGTATATATTTCTTTCATTATAATTATGTTTGTCTTCTATATGTGCTTTTTATCTCTCGTGTTAATAATGGTCCTGACCTCATTAATACTATACTAATTAAAAGCCACAAAGAAAGTGTGACAAGTAATTTTATATATATATGCTGCCGATGTATTAGAATATTTAGTCCAAAATTTGGCAAATAATTATTTATCGGGCTCTATTTGATAACGAAATTAAGAACTAAATCATTAATTTTGATATTTGGTAGAACTCCTTTTTTTTTATATATATAAATTAGCTCTCTCCCACGCGTCACTCCTTTAACTTTGTGCTACACAAATTAAAAAAAAAAAAAGTACCAATACCAAATCTGTGAAATTGTGTGTTCTTTTCGTATCAAATAAGTAGGATAATTATTAAATTATATCATGGTTTTTGTATTAAAATAATGTCAAAGTTGTTAATCATTTACAATCAAACTGGCTTACACCCTTCGATTAATATCAAGACCAAATCAAACAAAGAAAAAAACGATGTGACGGCCTTTCTCAGTCATTATACTGATTATTATATAATATCGTGAAAATTGATAAGAAAGTTGCAATACCACTGTTAACAGGTCAAAGAATGCAATTAAAATAGATTGGGGTCGCAATCACAGAATATTTTCTCCTAATGTGTATGCAATTAATTAAAGTTACATATTACAGAATTATCTTATTATTTGTGTAGTGAAGTACAGAAGATCCATAAATTTTAGAAGAAAAATCTAATCAGGTGAATAGTTATATTTTTTTATTTCTATTATTATTTTAAATGTGTATGTCATGAATTGACGTGTATTTATTAAGTATAATATAACTGCCTAGCCATTAGGGCTGTTTAATAATAAGTGTTACTGAATTATACAATTTTGTGGAACAAAATAATACAAGCTAGCTAATTAGAGAGAAAAGCCATGTGACATATAATACTTTTTTTTTTTTNTTTCCTTTTCCTGAAGATAAGATTAGTAAAATCAATTTAATAAATTCTTATATCATAATATATTGATATGTGTCATGCAGTGCGTAATTAAAATCCCAAGTTGCTATCAACTTAGAAGAAGAAAATGATATATATACTGTAGTGAAATATTTAACGATAATTCAAAAATTAGATAACATCACACGCAATTAACAATTATATGCAAATAAAAAGAAACATTGAAAGATTTAGTAGTTATTTGAAACTCATCCTTATGGCATATACTAAATATGCAATTTATACAAAGGTTAAAATTCAAAATCAAAGTCTTTAGTCTAAAAAATATTTTAATTTTACGACTTAAACATCCTTAATTATGAATCACACTGACTCTAATACACAGCACAGCCAAAAATTCGCACCCCTAATTTCAAACAAGGCACGCTAATTATAATTATCACACTTTACCTTTTCTAGTCAAAGCCAGCGCAACTTTGCTCTTATTTTTTTTTTTTNTTTAAAGACTTTCAATCTATTTTCGTGCTTTTATACTTAATTGCATAATCAAGTACGAAATACGAATAGGATGTTACATATTATTTAGTACTCATAGTCAATATGAGTTTGAATTGAAAGTTGTCAGATGTCTCTGTTCCTCATAAGTCAAGCTAAATATAATAATTTATTCTATTTAACTAATCAATTGATGAGGATTGTTTTGATTCATTAAATAACCATTATGTGTTAGTATATATAGTAGTTTAAGTCGAGCACTTGACTAAAATATATAGAAAAAAGGAAAAAACTACGAGGAAAGAAAAAATTAGATCAATTGTTTGATTGTGATTAGTACCAACACCCGCCAGCTAATCCTTATCCTATGTAGTCTATTACTATATAATACAGAGAAGAAAAATTATTTGAACAATCCGAAAATAATTATTTCGTTTTCCCGCTTCAATATAGTGTTTTTTCCGCTTCTTCAATTCGTAAATTTTTTTTTTTTAATTTTTTCAGCCCATGCAATTAGGTAAACAATCAAATCGAATCTTTTAACATTCAATTTGGTAAGGTATTCCCATTTTAGCATTCAAATCCGATTTCACTTCCTTTTTTTATGCCAATCAATCCGATTTTTTTTATTGTTTCAAAAATTTTTTAGATTTATATTTTTATTTTATTAATATATTTGAAAGAGAATCAATAAATGTTTATCATAACTTTTAATTTAAAAATAAATTTGAATAAGCATACCTTTTACTTTATATGAAATTCAAAATTACATATTTTAATATATTAATAAACGTTTATTATTTATTTTTTTCCTAATGTCGGTATTAAATTTGTAAATTCAAACATTTAAAGGAAAAGATTCCAAACAATTTTTTTGGGTAAATTTCATTTTATCTTGGTTTTCATTATCACATTTCTAAAAAACTAATTAGTATTATATTTTTTTATCTGCATTATCTAACCGATTTTTTATGATACAATTAATATAATATCTTAACAAATTAATCATTTGTCTAACCGGATTTATCTCTCTAACAAACTTGCCAAATTTTTTAAACTTAAAATGGTATGATTATTCTTATGGAGATACTTATCAATATATTAAATATTTAGAAACTTTTTTTAAAAAATGAGTTATCCCTCCTTTTACTTTATTTGAAATTCTGACTTATATTTTTAAATATATTATTATTGATTTTTTTACATGTAAACATTTATTATTTATTATCTAAGTGATAAATATTATTGATTTATCTCTTTAATAATATTTATTATTTTTTTTTTCCTTACGTGATATAATGTAAATTTGGTTACTAGATTTTTAAATTCAAACATTTAGGAAAAAACCGCGAACAAATTTTTTTGTTACATTTCATTTTATTTTAACTTCCATATAATCACAATCCTAACAAACTAATTAGTATAATATTTTTTTACCCATTTTTATATAATCGGATTTCTTAAAATATAATTAATATAACATTTGAACTATTTAATCATTTGTATAACTTGATTTAACTCATTATCAAACGTGCCAATTTTCTTTTTGAAATTAAAAAAAAAAATGGAAGATTTTTATTTGTAAAATAATAAAAAAATAGCTTTACTTTAAAGTCTGGATTATTTCCATTTTTTTTTGTACTTAACAATCATATATTTTGGATTATTGATTTAAAAAAACAAATCAAAACCGTAAGGTTTAATAATATTCCTTAAATAAAAAATATTGTATAAAGAAAAGTACTTAATATTATATATTTTTCATTGATTGTATTTATTTTATTTTCATAATAGACGAGATGTGAAAAATATAAATAATTATATTTAAAATAAAGTCTAAAAAATGTTTAAAATATGAACTCTTCCGTGCAT